TGTGTCCGTAAAATCTGTCTACTAAATACTACATTGTGTTTGAAGCATATTAATTATAAAATACATATTAAATGGTCACCCACAGACATGTAAGAAAGTACTCACACAGGACAATGGAGATGATGCTGATGCCCGTAAGGCCCATTCCAGTGAAGAACCTCATTATAGCAAACATAATAAAGGACTTGGAAAATGCACTGGCCACCCCAAACAAAATGGCTATCAGGTAAGCCACCATCAGCATTCGTTTCCTACCATACCTGGAATAAACAAAATCCATGAGAAATACCTTATACTGGCATGCTGGGGAAAGTATAGTGTGACAGCTGTTTTCAAAGTAGTGTAGCTTTTCCAGAACAGGCTACTTTTTAATATCTTTAAAAGAACAGTGCTGTCACCTAAACGGATCTTTGTGACAGTGAATCAATTTGTCCTAAACAATTCTCTCTCTCATATGCATTGTAAGATTGGTTCATTCTAGTGAATCGATTCATACTAAATGGTCTTCTCTCTCAAATGCATGTAGTAGTGTTAGAAAGTAGTTCAGTCTAGTGAGTTGATTCATCCAAAATAGTTTTTTTATTTGCATGAAATGTTGGAAAGTCTGACTCATTGTAGTGAATTGCTCCAAAAATTAGTTTCTGTACTATATATAGATTTTTGACCCAGTTATGTACATTAGAGTGTTTTTGTTGTATATAGTACAATTTTACTACTATTTTAACCATTATTGAGATGTCCATTCATTCAAAAACCCACATCTTTTTTCTTTAATATTATTATTATTATTATTAACTTAGTGCTCTTTTAAGTAACATCAAAATTTTGTTTGTGCTGTAGCTACCTAACAGTAACTGTAGTTTAACTACTTCAGCTTGGCATGCTGTTGTAGCATCACTGTTCACTATATCTCTTAAAGGCCAGATCCATGTCTTACATTAAATCTCACCTGTCACTCAGCCAGCCAAAAATGGCTGCTCCTACCGTCACACCAACAAAGAAGATGGTGGCTGTGGCTTTATTCAGACCTTTCCTGTCGCACACCAACCCAAACTGAAAGAGAAACATATTGGTCAGAAAGATGTCATTTTTCTTTTGATCAGTGATGTACATTTGAATTGGACATTAATCAGAATTACAACCTTGCTTCATTCAAAACTGCACTAGTCAGAAAAACAAAAAGTCCCGCCCCCACATTTACACCATTGGTTGAGCCATTGGTTTTCCCATTGGTTTTGGGAAATCAACCCCTAAAAAGCTTACTTATAATTTTCTCTGAATTTTAACGTAAAAAAATCTATACACTTCAGCTTTAACATTCATTTAGGTTTACTGTGGAGACTATATTTAACAGTCGTAAAATTAAATTATATATTTATAAAAATTCATTTAAATGAAAAACAAATAAAGTGAATTACCTCAGTAGCCAAGGCTGATTTAATTGTGCTGTTGTCATACTCCCATCCGTTCTGACACTCAACTACAGGAAGTTCTGAGCTGCTGGAGGAGTTTGCCAACAGGTGGAACTGAGGATGGGAGAACATGTGACAGGAAGCAGGTGTCCCATCTTCCTGTGCAGGAACACTGACAGTCAGTCTCTCTTCTCGACTTAGATTCCCAAGGACCCCGTCAACATCCAGAGAGCTGATATCACAGTGATGAGATGGGATGGCGGCGATGAAGTTGTTCAACAGGAAGTGAAATGGTAGCGTTACTCTCGGAATCACCAAAAGGGCGATGATACTGATCTGGTATTTTCCAAACCCCCCAGCCTCAGCCAACAGGTTCTCAAACTTCATCTTTGCTGATCTAGTCTTCTGATGTGGCTCAAAAGAAACAATGCGGGCAATATGGACTTGAGTTTGTCCAATCATAAGTCTACTTACACATTCACTGCTCTGGTGTAGATCATTAACCTCTCATATACTGACATGAATGACATTCATACATATTCTTATTCTCTTTCATATCTTTTTCTCAAACACAAACACACACATGCACACACAAATAAGTAAAGTATGTTGACTTGACACACTTAAAGTAACTTCAAGTAACAAAAACAAACTAAAGAAAACACTCAGGACAGACACTCTGCACTGAAAGATTGTACATTAGTCTTTTCTTTTAGTAAATTAATATCTAACACAGAGGGTGTTGAAACCATAGTGGAAGGCCTGAGCTTCCACTAGTCATTTGGTTGGATTTCTTCCTGCTTAATAAATGACAGCAGTGTTGGACAGTACTACAGTAGTCAAACTGAGGACAAAGGCAGGTCTCTAAAAAAAACTATATTAAATATATATATATTTATATTATATTATATTATTATATATTTTAACTACCATGAAAATGTTAGAATTATTATTACAATTCAATACAAGTTTTGTTTATATTAATATATATTTAAAATGCAATTTATTCCTGTAATGTCAAGACTGAATTTGTCACATGATCCTTCAGAAATAATTTTCAGGAATTATTTCTTATTATATACATTAAAAACAGTTGTGCTGCTTAACATTTTTGTGGAAACCATGCTAAAAATATATTTCCAGGATTCTTTGACAAATAGAACGTTCAAAAGATACGTTCAATAAAGTTCAGTGTTTATTTTATAACAAGTAGAAGTCTTTAATGCATACAGAACTTGCTGAATAAAAGCATTATTTTAATGATGTAGCACCAGATAAATCAAAATTTAATCTCCTTAACAGAACTGCAAACTGGAAAGAGTTCAAGCTGTTGCACCACATCTAAAGAATAACTACTCTTTCTCCAAAACCTGTCACTTCTACTGCCATCTAGAGTTTCTGTAAAATGGTGCCATTATTAGAAGGACTGAATATGCAGCAACAGAAATTTGCATCAATTATGTCCAAGTCCAGCAAAGCTTTTCAAACCCAAAAAGCTATAGGTGTGAAACACACTTTCCTATCTCACTCGCTGCCATTACAGTGTGAAGCATCTTTGGTCAGCTAACTTGTTAAACACAAATAGTCTAAGCAAATAGTGGTGGACGAAGTACACAAATCAAGTACTTGAGTAAAAGTACAGATCCGTATAATAAAATATTACTCCAGTAAAAGTAAAAGTACTCAGTTTTCAATTTTACTCGAGTGAAAGTACAAAAGTACTTGATTTTTTAAGTACTTAAGTAAAAAGTACCCATAGATGAATGTTTATTTTGCAGTTTTATATAGGCTACTTATAT